AGCGTATTTAATGGTTGAATATAAACAGATATGTTTATTGAGCATACATAAATTGAACTGTAATGATGTTATGACCATACAGAGCCATTTTCCTGCAACATACCAGACAAACTTAGTTTGATTTAGTATAGCACTGTCAGGAAGTGATATTTTTTTTACCAGCCCAGATGTCATAAAATACATTCGCACCAATTAGTATATCAATGGGCACTGACTTGTTACATTGTGGTTACGCCAAATCACATTTAATATGATCAGGTATAATCATAAAATTTCTATTAGCATAATGTGATAAAATTATATTAATCGTTAACAATACTCAAATTTTTTGTTTTTTTTTTTTTTTGTGTCTTTTACCTCTAATTCNATTTTTTTTTTTTTTTTTTTTTTTTGTGTCTTTTACCTCTAATTCTCAGTTCTCACTGGACCAATTTCTTTCAATGATACCTAAAAGATCACAAATCGTATTTAGTCGAAGACATTACCCTCAAAAATTAAAAAAAAAATTCCCTCGATTTCCGTAAATGGGGGAAATCGCCAAAAAAATTTAAATTTTAAAGTCAGTAATTTTCGAAATTTTTTTTTTCTTAAGATTGTCAACTTTTTTAAAAATTAACAAATAAACATAATTTTTTTTTTATAAATATCTTAGGTTGTGATGTGATGATATATTATTGGTTATCTCCTTATTTTACTGCTTAAATTTAAGGTCCTAATAGCACATCCTCTTCCCACCAAATTTTATAAGTTGTATTTTATTTTATTCACATCTCGCCTAGTGCTAAATTTCTTTAAAGTGTGTGGTAGTAATATGAACATGTCTACAAGTGTAAAAAATATTAAAATGTCTATGTGATATCCATCTCAACCTAACTTGACTGTACTTGCAACGTCTGTATTAAATTTGATTTTTGTTGAGAGAAAATTCATACAAATCTGCTACACATAGTTAACGACCGTTCTTCATCGGTGGTAATAATAATATATCCGAGTATCTACTTTTGGATAGATATCGATAAATTTATTAATTTTTTTAATTTAATCGATGAAATTTTATCATTTATGGTAACTCGTGTAAATTAAAAATTTATTTGAGTGCCGTTTTCAATATTGTAAAATCGAAAAGTTTCTTAACAATATCGGGTAAAGTTAGTGAAGAATAAAAAACGGGANCTCGAAAAGTTATTTAACAATATCGGGTAAAGTTAGTGAAGAATAAAAAACGGGACGTATATCATTGACCGAAGAAAATCTGATAGCGTTGAAAGAAATAAAGTCACGTCTCTTGGAGGTAGACAAAGAGAAATATAAAACATGCAACTTATTGTATATGCAGAGTATAGAAGTTAACAAAAAAGTTAAGGATATAGCAGTAAACAAGTTTTTGGTATTACACGAAAATTCCTTATTATCAAAAGACGTCAAAAGCACTATACAAAAAATAATTACATTCTATTATAAATGTATCGTTAAACGTAAATGGCATCAATTCATTGCGGATTTCATTTACCAAACTAACCAGGATATTATGCAAATAATTTTAAATTTTTTAAAAAAGCAATTGTTTTTAGTAGTATGTAAATAGCGGGTTCTGAGGATCAAAGGATGCCGCCATGGTAATTAGTGTCATATGTCATCAAAAGTAATAAATGAATAGTGTTAATGGGTAATTAAACGGCTAATTAAAGTCAATCGTAATTGTTAGAGTCGTAAATCTAGTGTATAATTGCTAAAATTGTGATAATAATGTTAGTTGGCGGAGGGTAGGTGGTCAGCTGAGTCGGCATTACGTTGTTGTCGGTGTTACATATGCAGCATCGTGTGCCCCTCGAGCAGGAGCATCACAGGTGTTACGTCATATAATCACCCTTAAGGTCAATACGTCACATACAATAATAATAAAGACTCTACCCCTGCCTACACCCTTACCCGGCAGTTGTGCGTTAAACGGTCGTGCGATATATTGTGTCATCGCCGCCGCTATCGTCGGGGTATAAGCCATAGGTCGTGTAACCCATAAATGACACCTCATTCGTTACCGAGAATCAATTGTCTAACAGATGATTAGAAATCGTGCACCAACAACATTGCCTGCTGACTATTAATCGGTTCACAGTATTTTTTAATCTATTGTGAGCCTAAAATGAATTATTTCACTAATATATCGAATATATTTTCGAGTCAGTAAATTATTTAAAAATTATCGAGATATGCAATATTTTGAGGAACGTCTAAGCGATAAAGTCAACGGTACCGGTGGAGACTTTTTACATTACGAAGGTTGTGAATTATCGGATGAGAAAAAAATTCGGACAATCCTGAATTTGGATGCTCAGTTGTGAAGCAAATTTATTATGAGCTTTTGGATTCAATCGAAACAATTGAAAAAACGGTTAATGCAAATCGCAACGACAGTAAGTTCTCCTATACGTGACTTTTCCAGTCAAATTCGAAGATAATCGGAATAAAATAACATAAAAAACAACTAGTTCTTTATTGAAAATATTATATATTTGTACTTTTTTTTGTTTCTATACTATATTGTAAATTATACAATAATAAAAATACATTTGCAAATACATTAGAGTTTTCATACTTCAACCATGAATGCGTAGTATTCCATTTGACAGTCGTGAATAATTACATAATACAATGATGTTTTATCAGGAAACTGTTTAGAGAATTCGAAATCAAAACGTAAATAAACCGTTGAAGACTTGACGGTATTGTTTTGTTTTGTATAATCTATCACAACTATGCGTCCACGTTTTTTGTAATTTATATAATTCAGTAGAGAGTACGGATCTTTACGACATAAGTACATTGTCTAGAATTGAGTGTACGAGTTGTAAAAATTGTGTACTCATTGTTGTCGAAATCGGCGTTTTCGTTCTCGTATGGGTATTCATCCGCGTTCTGATACGCTTTGACATTTCTCAACGAACAGTGATCGAAATCTCCGAGAACGTGTTCGTTCTCATTACCCATAACAATAAGTAAATATCTGGATTTTTCCACGTTCGAATAGTTGCGCGCCGACAATGTGTGATGAATTGTCTGTAGTACCAACGGGTAATCAGCAACATCCCAGTGTTGGAATTCTGACGGGAGTCATTTCTGCTGTCCAGAATACGTATCGACCCAGTTCGGTTTTCACACTGAATTCAAAATACTTTACCACCTATTTGATTTTCGATATTTTCACGTTGATTTGTTTTATCAATGTTGCAAATTGCACTTTATCGTCTGTTGTTGTTGTCTGTAAAAAAAATGATACGACAGTGCTGTCGGTACTCGATCTATTCAACAGAAGTGTCAGTACAGCTTATCAGTGTGCGTCGGTATCGTTCGAAAAATTCCATGCACATAGACAATGGACACTTACCACAAATTCGGTCACATCAATATAATCGTTGTTGTGCAAATTTTGCGCATATTTACATTCGGCCGTTTGTAATCGTCGGATGTCGTTGGGTATGAACGAACAATATCCCTTGATGGTTGTAGCCAATGTATTTTATCTTGTCCATTTCTTTGCCTGAAATCTGATTTCATCGAATAGGTGCTAGAGAAAATTTTGTCCCATAAACATTTCACTGACTGTTCCAGCTGGTGGTTTTACCAGTTTTCCCTCGATTTGCAAATAACTTTCGCACGGCACGGTGTATTTTCCTTGTTGCTCACTTCTATACGGATTTCATCATTGTGTTTGTACGAGTTGTTGTAACTCTGATGTTCCAGATAGTACTCACGTTTTACGCTGTCGTCTTACTGACATTTGTACATTTTGAAAATTCGATATTTTTCTTTGTTAATTGTTGCTGCTGCGATAGCGTTACACGTTTGATTCATTGCTCCGTCGTAGAGTATATGCTGTCACATAAATGATGGTGCACTACACTCCTATTGAAACTCAGAGGCATTTAAATGGTGTCAACATGTTTTTCCAGTATAGAGACACGGTAGTCGACTGAATAAAATTCTCGAGCTAGTGCTTCCAAACGATGAATTATAGCTGAACTGTTGTTATTGTTGTTGTTGTCACTGTTTATCAGCTGACAGCTGTTGACGAATGTTTGAAGGAGCAGTAATAGTTGCGAGAATATGACTAGTATGCACAAAAATAATCCAATTTGTGAGGAATCAAATTGTTTTATATGGTCCCGTAATGTCATCGTATTTTCATTCATCCTGTTTGATGTGTAGATGCACTGTTAACTTTTCTCCTCTTAAGTTGACACGTTGTCCGTCTTGGTCGAGCAATATGATTCGAATCGTGTTCAATACATTTGTGTTTAACGGATAATAAATGAATTGTCTGGGACACTCGATAATACGGTAGGCCGGTGGTACGTTTGGAAAGAATTCGTGCAATGTATGCGATTGACGTCCTCCGTGGTACGAGCTAACATTTATATTGCAGTCAACTCGTATGCAAGTTACTTTTGTTATAGATAACGGTAAATATGATATGTGTTCCATTTTCGGTACCAATACACGAGGTCGGAATACCAACATTCAACCGATTGATTGAGGGTGTACAAAAGCTATGAAGTGATCACATTTGATTGTAGCTGCGAAAATAGTTTTTTGTGCAGATCGTTTTTGTTTTTATCCTTTATTTTCTCCACCACCGAGTTGAGTATTTCATAGAATGCATACTTGTCAATTTGAAACCCGAACCCAACTTCTATGGTTGCAGGTAAAAACCTTTACACGTACTTATTGCAGTATTGTCTTTACGACTGAATGCGGTCGCCACCTTGACCACATTTGCAGCTCCGCCTGCCAAAGCTCCAAACGCCAACAGTCCGGTAAATATGAGTATGAGTGGTAGTACACCACCTTTCGTTTTTGGAACATTTATGGTGCGGGATAGTGGAATTTTTTTCTTTCTCACCACACGCGGTGCAGCCATTACGGATCGTTTTACCACACTCAGTATATCCATTTTTTTGTGCATTTTGATCAAGTTTAGCCTCACGCATGACTCGTTTGAAACCCAAGACGAGTTCACATTTCAATTTCATCGCGTTGGTAACACCCTAAGCTGCGAATCGTTCAGAAAATTTAGTGTCTATGTCCAACACTCTTTCCCAAGCCCAATGTTCAAACACCTTATCCACTTTATGACGGTCCTCGAGATTCTTGTATTTTCTATAAATTATATCATGGTTGCGGCAAGCAGCATCAAGAGGGTTCACTTTGATGTCACCTCGCTTCAATCTATTTTCTAACCGCGTTCCAGAACCCGCAAATTGATAACCTAAGTAATAAACATTTAAAAAAATATTAAAACGAACGTTGCAAATAATAATTTTGAATAATTACACTCACACACCTGGAATGTGTGCTTCGAAAGGTAATTTGTAGATTACAGTGTTCAATATTCCTGCAATTCGTTTTCCACGTTGTTTCTGTTTGATCATTATTTTTATATTGACGGTTGTTGAATGATGACGTGCGTTTCAATTGCTATCTATCGTGAATTTTGAGAAAAGTTATGATATTGCACCCAGTAAACACGGTAAACTATTGCCAAACGTAATACGTGCATTGATTTGCGGACTGTGAAATTGTGGAAAAACAAACTTGATATTTTTCATACTAACCACTGATATCAGCGAACTTCGATTTGAAAATGTTTACGTTTACTGGAAATCGTTACAACAGTCAAAGTATCAACTACTCATGGAAGTTTTACGCGATTTCCAAGGAGTACAATTGTTTACCTATGAAAAAGGTGAGAATGTACTATCGGTGAACAATTTCCCACCCAATTCCGTGTTCATATTCGACGATGTTGTTATTGAAAAACGAAATGTGATGTGTGATTATTTCGTGCGTGGATGTCACCGTCGAGTCGATGTGTTTTTCCTATCCCAAACTGTCACGCATATAAAAGCAAATGTTGCGTGACAATACAAATGTGGTAGTGCTGTTCCGACAAGATGAAGTTAACCAACATCTCGCGTACGATGAGTACGTGTGTTGTAATATGAAATTCGGTAAATTCAAAGAGTTTTGCAAACATTGCTGGAACAATGACCCATGCGTATTTGCAGTGATTTGTTTGGACTTTGCGCATGACAGTGGCCGGTATAGATACAAGTTTGACAGATTTGTGACAATACGAGTGCTACTGGTAATAGTGTTCGTGATGAAAAAAAAAAACGTTGTAAAAAACTATTGACAGAAACCCAGGAAAATGTCCAAAAAAAGTACACGGAACTGCATCGTGGTGAAGCGGATTCATTGACTCGCGTTACACGTGAATTAGAACCAATCATTTGGTTGTATAAAATTGTGTCACAGCAACAGCAGCAGCAACAACTACAGAAATCCATCAAAAGTTTAAATGATGATAGATATAATATAGACACGATGGTGGCTTTTTCTATCAGTGCACGTACCAATGGTCAATGAACCCATAACAAGGATAATGTGTATGGACCAAAAGTGACACCGGAAGGAATACTGACAATAAGTGGAGTCGATAATATCTTTGTCGATGGTGGAATAATCAACGTACTGGAGAAAAAATTCCCGCTGACTTTAGGTCTTGTGTTCCCGCAGGGGAATCCGCAAGGATCACAGGCCTGACATCCCCGCGGACCATAATTAATGCGAACAATGGTTCACTTGGTGAACCGTCTACTAGCAAAAAGACAGCAACGCCAACAAATGCAGACCAGGAATCACAAGATTAACTGGGAGCAGTAGCTGACAAAATTGAGGCTCTAAAACTTAGACCTGAGAAACTGAGCGGCAGTCAGAGACGCAAGCTGAAGAGGAGCCGGGCAATCATGGAATTGGCGAACCTACCAAAGGAGGGAGACAAGGGAACCGAAGCTCAAAAACCTGAGGACAAGGTTCCAGAACCTCCATGTAAGAAGACTCATTGGGTACCGACCTACAGAGATGTGATAACCGATGATAAAAAAGTGTTTCTGGTCCTCGCAGGCTACCCCACTAACAAGTTGACCATAAAGCAGGGACTACTCATTGAATCTTGTGTTGGAGACTTGATACTGTCGTGTCCTGATGGAACCGACGTACCAAGGTTTGAAGACACCAGACTCATTGATGGAGCACTTATGATCAGTACAGCTCAAGAGAGCTCTCTTAAGTGACTCACTGATCATGTCAACCTGATAAAACCTTGGGACGATGCAGAAATACAAATGGAAGCCTACATCCCGATCAAGTATAAAAGGATGGTCATTCATATACGAGAGCTACCAAAAGAATACAAGAAAATCTTGGAAATTTTGTCAAAACAGAACCCAGCGCTGAACACGGTGATCTGGAAAGTCCACGATGAGACAGAGGTTGGGTCGAAAGGACAAACTTTGTTCCTAAGTGTGGACGAGAAGAGCATAGTCAAACTGGAGGAACTGAGGCGCAATTCATATTTTGGAATGGGCAGAGTTTGCTTCACGGACTATGTTGCCAAGCAGCCACCAGTCCAGAGGATGTGAAGAAATCAGCTCCAAAAAAATCTGGAAAGAGGAAGGCTGAAGAATCACCAGTGTTATTGGGAAATGAGGCAAGGCACAGGTAAGAAATGAATGGATTCACTTTACACCTGCCTCGAATGGGAAGGGAGGAAGTGGGTTACGTAAGGGAAAGGGACCCAGGAAACCGCCATCCTCAACAACATCCACAGCTGAGGGGAACCTCTCCACAGATTCAAAAGGAAATGTGGAGAGCGAACGTCATCATTTATACGACTAACAAATGAAAATTATGTATATAGAATTGCAAACTATGTTTTTTTATATATCATTTGATGTGTTACACTATGAATAATTTTTATTTAGCAAAAAAAGTACATTTTAATATAAATAATCAATTATATGTATACACTATCATTTTTGAAATATAAAAATAGTTTTACTATTCATTTTTATGTAACTAATATATTAAAACTAATGATTATACAAACAACTTTTTTTTTCTTTTGTACTTTATAATCTGTTTGCAAAAATTTAATAGATTTCCTTTTTATTACCTAAATATTTTTTTTTATATGTAGGATTGTTATTTATAAATATAAAAATCTTAAAAATATAAATATTAACTTGTAACAAAGTTTTAAACTCACAATGTGAAAATATCAACAAAATAATTACTTGTTATTAGGGAAATTTTATTTCATTCGATTACAATACCATTTTGTGTTAGTAAAATAAAATTATAACATAATTTCAAAATATAGAGTATAATTAATTAATTATAAATTATATGAAACAGAATAAATATAATTGGATAGGATGTGTGCATTATGAACTTATAGGCCCGAGTGCACGGGTAGTTCTTGCCCACTTTTATAACAAGTAAAACTAATTATAAATTATAAAATATTCGTATATTATTGTTAATTGTATGTAAGAAAATTCATTCGTCAAAATCATTAATCATGATCAAAATGATCATGATCAATCATCAAAATGATTTGAATTATACTGACGAGAAAGGAAATGTGCGAGTCTGTATAATGAGAAATTGTCTTTAAGAGAGAACTTAAGTATTTAATGTTTGTTGAATACTATAAATTATTTTTAAATTTAAAATTTAGTAATAAATCCCTAGACAAGTTACGATTTACAAAACCGGAATATTTTCACTTTTTTCAAAGTTATTTTTCTTAAAACTGTCAGAAATTCATTAAAAATGAACAAATTAATTTTTTTTATATAAATACCTTAAAAACTCCTCTTTCTTAGGGTATATTTTTTCCAAAAATCTGACCATTAATCTGCTTTGAAAATAGGATGTAAAATAGTAATTTTCACACAAAAATTTAACTATAGAAAATGTTCTGGAAATAATGCTTCTTTAAGCATATGTTAAATTAAAACTTATGTTAGTTACTATAAGTAAAAAAATTTGTACCGACGGCCTAACTTTTATGTGCAAATGGCTGTAGTAGATACAATAAAAGCTATTTTAGCGTTAAAAATTTTCTTTAATTTTGTTCGTTTTCTAAATTATAAAAAAAGTTTAGAGTTCCTCCTCCGAAAAAATTCAATATAAAATTGTCTTTGTGCACATTTTCTTTAAATTTAAATCGTTCTTAATTTTTAAATAATTTATAACTAGGCGATTATTTTACATTAAAATACCTTTCAAAGTTTTTCCATAGTAATGAAATCACACTTTTAAGTTACAGAAATCTTAATTGCACCTCCTATGTTAAGAAAAACGATGAAAAAAATGCTGGACTTTTAAACACAATTTTAGCTCAACTACAAGTTTAGAATTAATATTATTAAATAATTAATTTTATGAGAATTTAAAAAACCAATTTTTTTATACTAATATCGAAATAAATCAATTCAATAAAAATTATAGTAATCATTTATGTATAACTCCTTAATTTAATACTGCAATTGAAATATTCAGAACTTAATTAATTTATTAAATATTCCATAAATTTTTATATTTATATACTGCACATAATATATTCTGCTGGTTGCGTATTTTTAAGTAAAATATATTTATTAATATTATAAATATATATATTTTAGTTTCAATAAAAGCTGAGAATGTATTAATTTTAACATGTTTATAACAAACCTTATAAGGGTTTACCATAGTAATGAGTCCACCAAAAAATATAAAATTTACATTAAATATAAATTTATATAAATTTTGATTATTTTGCCTCTTCAAATATAAAAAAAGCTTTTTTGAATTTTCGAAAACTTGAAAATTTTATATAAAAAGTACAACTTTTGAAAATGTTCCGGGAATACTGCGTCTAAATATATGTTGAAATGAAGCTTATTTTATGTACTAGAAGTTAAAAAAAAAACTCCAGCACAGGGGGTTCGCGGCACAGTGGTGACGTGGCATAGTTGGTTCAAGTATAATGATATCTAACAGTGATTAAAATCACTATAAAAAAAAAACGCTTCGATGCAAATATTTAGATAGTGTTTAATTTTAAAAAATTGGTGAATTATTCCAAAAGCTACAATATCCGCTAGTTCCTTATTAATATCCTGATAAAGATAAAGTATGTCGAATGAAAAAGGGATTATTAAAAAAAATTATTTCTCATAAAAAAATAATGTTAATCCATACACTTTTCAATAAGTTATAGCATTATAAAGTTGTAAGCATTATAAAATTTTAAAAATATAATCCAGAATTATCACACAAATATAGCATTCGGTAGCCATTTTCATCGTGAAGACAAAATAAAGTCCGAAATTTTTTTTCTATAATAAAGTATTAGCTTTAATTTCAAATATATATAAAAGTATCAGACTTTCTGAAACACTTTCAAAAGTTAAGTTAAGTGATGATAGTGATTTTAATCACTGTCAGATACACTATCATCTATACTTATCCCAACTATGCCACTTCCATATTGTCCCACGACTCCACTGTGTTACCGTTTTTTTAATCCTAAAATCTGAATAGCTAAATAATTAAGTATGGTAGTGGCATATTAATTTCCAGATTCATTGTAATTTTTTTTTTTGTCAGATTCTATTGTGGGGCATAAAGATACTTTTGCCCACCATCGGTTCCGGCGCCACTGCGCAGGAATGTGAAAGAGACTACGGGCCTACTGAATTCCGTGTCGCTTTTGAAAAGTTTAGACTCCGTCTTTATTCCGTGATTACCTCAATACTCAAGTTGGAAGCTGTACCGTCTGTACTTGTCCCATCTGTACCACGTTCATACTGTGCCGCAACCCTACTGTGCTACCGTTTTTTGTTTTGTACTAAATTATAGCACATTGATACATTTTATATTCAGTGATAATTCAACAAATGCTTATTCACTGGTTCAAAAAAGAATTATATTGAAATCCTATAAATATATTTACATTTTATAGCTATCAATTTTAGCTAATTATATTAATTTTTTCGTATATTTAAAAATAATAAAAAAAATTATATTTCATGTAATACATAAACACAAACCATTATTACGCTCAGTTCTCCATAAATTTTTTTCTTAATAAATTGTTGTATAAATTCTACATATTCATTACAAATGATGATAAAAAAGTAATTGATAAATAATAAGTATAACTATACTCGAATTGTTAAAGAAATTAGGAAAAAAAGTCTGTTAATGAAGCCAAACTTTGACAACAGTTATTAAGCGAATAGTGTTTGTAAATTCTTTAAGTTCGTTCTAAGTAAAATAATTTTAGTTTAATGCATTTGTCACTCGTATGTACTCACATAAAGACATTATGACCTATGGACGTTAAAAATTAAGTGGTAGTAACTTTTAAAATGATTACCAATTGTTTCAATATTTTATATTATATTAGTCCTAATAGTTTTGTGACTACAAAACTAAAAAAAGTTAGTCTGTAACTATAGGAGGTGGCCAAATTTTATAGTTCTGGATAACAAAAACTATTTCTATAAATAGTTACAAAAATAAAATAATTATTTATCAAATATATTAATTTATCTAATTTTATAAGTTTATTTCAACTGTTAAAGAATACATTTCACTGTTAATTTTACTTTTAAAATCGCAAAATATAAATTGAATACTCGTTTATATAAAAAATTAAAACAAATTTTATTTCATTACATAATAGTTATACGAGTATAAATTTCTGCATCATGAATAAAAAAACTGAATATTATTTTTATGTTTCGATTAATTAACCGGTCATGGTAAATAAATAACTGTATATAAATAAATAAAAATACAGAATTCTCTATTAAAACTATTTAATATACTTTATTAGATCCATTTCCTGCCACAGTACTAACATTGTTATTTTTGTATTATTCTTGTTGTCTTTTCTAACTATTATAATTAATGTAAAAATATACAACAATCCAACTTTCTTGGTTATATTAATAAAATATATTATTGGTAATAATTAATTGTATTTTCTTATTAAATATTAAAATAATGCATATAAATTAAATTAAGACAATTATTTTATATAGTAACAAACATGATAAAAATTTATTCCATGAAAATTAACTTATAAAATGGTTCAATTATGATCAATTTAATAAATTTAATCGATTTGTAAGTTTGAATTATCTTTTACTTCACATATGAAATCTAATTTTAAATAAAAAAAAGTTATTAATAATAAAAGTTGTAAAATCTTGTTCTAATTGATTAAATAAAATAATAAAACATTATTATACTTAACTATAGTTACATATTATCTGGCTAATTTCCTAAGATAAAAAAATTAAACAATAAATTTACACAAGCAATTTTCGATTATTTGTAGAGAATATTTAATATCATATGTTATACACTTAATATAATTATTAAAAATAAAGGTAAAATGTATGAATTTTTATAAAAATTCACCTAACTTCTTAGTTACTAAACATCTTGTACATTGTAATTTAGAATTACAACTTGTTTCTGTTAAATTTTTTTTTAACACAAATATTTCAAAATTACTAAAATAATTTTATCAATGTAATTTCATTTGCTCACAGAAAAAAATTTATGGTATACAAAGTACTTTCCTTAAAGAATAGCTAATAATACATTTTCACTCGATGTTATTATTTGATTGTACTGTTAGAGGATTGAATAAATAAAACATAAGAAGAAATACCATATTTAATTAAATTAATAAAGATAACTTTTTAAAATAAGGAGTATAATTTAGTTATTTGGGAATAATGAAAAAATCTGAAGTTTTGCCTATTTTTGTCAACAATTAGAATGTACAATTAAATAATTTCAAAATAATGATATATAGAATACATTATAACTAATTCGGCTATTGTACATATTGCTAAGTATATTTGGAGAATTCCATAATTAATGGATAAAATGTTATAGATAAGTATATTGCTGACAAAAGGTAAAAATATATTACAAATAAATAAAAGTACTATAACATATTATAATATAATTACCTTCTTTTTTAATCCTATCCTGTTTATCTACCTCATTGGTAGGTTGCATCAAATTTATAGAATTATTGTATTGTGTAATATCTAAAAATATTACATTTTTTTTAGCTCAATTTAAACCTTATTTATATTAAAAACTAGATTTACCATGTTGTTGAATATCTTTTAGGACATTTAGTTCATTGGTATGTTCTGTCAAATTTATTGGATTTTGGGTGGTATCTAAATTTGTTAATAAAAAAAATGTTTCTTAAATCTTAGATTTTTTAATAACATTTTAAATAAATAAATGAAAGCTAGTTTATTATAAAATCATTACCTTCTTTTTTAATCTCTTCTTGTTTTTCTACTTCAATGTTAGGTTGCGTCAAATTTCTAAAAGAGTACTGTGCGATATCTAAAAATATTGAATATTCTTTAGCTCAGTTATGAATTAAACTTATATGTATAATACTATATAATTAAAACTTTACATTCTTCTAGAATCTTTTTCATCTCATTTACTTCAGTGGTATGCTGTACTAAATTTATTGAAGGATTTTGTGAAATATCTAAAAATATTTAAATGGTTGTTGACTCAATTTAAAATTCATTAATATTAAAAACTAGATATACAGTAATGTATTAGGAAAACTTTACCATGTTTATGATACTCATCTAGCAAATCTATCTCGTTAGTATGTTGTGTCATATTAATTGAATTTTGTGTGATATCTAAATATATAATAGAACAAGGAAAAAAACGCTTTTCTGGGAAAATTACTTAGCGTGCTCGGATTTTCAAAATTTTTTTTTTCAACGAAAGTACTCGGTCACCAGACTCCGGGAAAATTATTGGCGAAGGTCGGAAAATTTTTGCCGCTCGCCCGCGAGCGTTTTAAAATTTCGACCGTTTTCGAGAAAAACGCTCGCTGACGCCAGCGTTTTACTACTTGAGGTTTGAAATTTTTATCAGACCCGTCCAATGACATTCCTGAGATGTGATAAAAAAATCAATTCAATCCGTTCATTTTTCACCGTTTTACGAGCTTTTTTTTTTTCATGCGCTCGAAACGCCAGGGCGCGCCGCCCGAAATTCTTGCGACACTTTACGACATGAAAACGATTTTTTTTACGATTTGCAATCATACCACGGCGTTCTGTACATGTCGAGGAAGCGCCAAAAATCGGAAAATCCCAGATCCGACAAAAACTCTGGCCGCTACGAGCGTTTGAAATTCATCAAATTTTAACGGAAAATGACGATTTTTCTGTTTGCTAATAATACACATGTACGCGTCCTATTATATCTTATTATATAATAGAACAAGGAAAAAAACGCTTTTCTGGGAAAATTACTTAGCGTGCTCGGATTTTCAAAATTTTTTTTTTCAACGAAAGTACTCGGTCACCAGACTCCGGGAAAATTATTGGCGAAGGTCGGAAAATTTTTGCCGCTCGCCCGCAAGCGTTTTAAAATTTCGACCGTTTTCGAGAAAAACACTCGCTGACGCCAGCGTTTTACGACATAAGGTTTGAAATTTTTATCAGACCCGCCCAATGACATTCCTAAGATATGATAAAAAAATCAATTCAATCCGTTCATTTTTCACCGTTTTACGAGCTTTTTTTTTTTTCATGCGCTCGAGACGCCAGGGCGCGCCGCCCGAAATTCTTGCGACACTTTACGACATGAAAACGATTTTTTTTACGATTCGCAATCATACCACGACGTTCTGTACGTGCCGAGGAAGCGTCAAAAATCGGAAAATCCCAGATCCGACAAAAACTCTGGCCGCTACGAGCGTTTGAAATTCACCAAATTTTAACGGAAAATGACGATTTTTCTGTTTGCTAATAATACACATGTCCACGCGCATGGTTGTATTATGAACCTTAATTATATGGTGTATTATATATTATTATTAGGACACTATTTTACATTTGCCCTATTTTTATCAAGGAATGTTATATGTTATATATAAATTTCATGACGTTATAATTATTTAAGTTTGTACTTTCATTATAAGAACAGTACTAAGTACAGAGTTAATAATTTTCTTTTTTCTCATATATGATGTATGATACTATGTGTTTATCTTTTGAATTGGGGTTCATCTATGATTACTATGATGTTCATCGTTAAATTGCAGTTACCAATATATTTATCAAAATTAAATTTTTATTTTTATTTTTAATATTAATTTTATTTTAATATTAATTTTAATTTAAATTTACAGTGTGCCACTTATAATAACCTGCTAAATTTTTTTAAAATTATTCTATAATATAAACACAATTATTATAATTAGATTATTAATAATTTTTGTGTATAACAGGGGTGTATTTAAGAGAGATTGGCCCCTCCTTGAACAAGCGCTATCAATATTTTTTTAGGCCACTTCTAATATATAAGGACCTAATGTCCTTTTTTTTCATCAATACTTTAATTTTAGCAAAAAAATTTCTATAACATGTTTAACAAAGTAAAAAATATTAAATTTCCTCCTAAAATAATTTTTGAATAGGCCTAAAGGGAATACCTCATTAAGAGGCTTCAACCTTATACCCAATACATTTTACTATATTCTCTTTTTGAATTTTCCTGATTTTAATAATAACATTTTTAGATATAGTTTTCTATAGTTTTCACTGATTCTGAAGTAGTATTTTTTCTGAAAAACACTTATCGTGCCCGGCGTAGCCGGGTACTTCTACCGGAATCAGTGGCCTACTTATGATGACGGCCCGAAGAGGCTTACGCGCCTTCGGCGCGTAAGGCTCGAAGGACCCCGGGTCTGTGGCGGAGCCCCAGCTAGCCGGAGCCTAGTCTAAATATATTAATAAAAAAAAATTTTATTTCAGTTTTGTATTGTTTCAATAATTATACCTTCAATATCATAGGTAGGTGGAGTAGGTAAAAACGTCCGACCTTTATTCAAATCAAATTTAAATCCAAGCTCAATGTACTTTTTCCAGATTGTCGTTAAGATTAAATTTTTGATTTTATCACTAAGAAATATGTATAATTCTTCATATATTCCTTGAGATTTTAATGTGTCAAATTCCATATTCCATAAATTCCACAATAAATTCATATCAAAAGGTTTTAGTTCACAATATGATAAATCTTTTTTTTTTAGTTCAGAATTTCTTGTGATTAGAATATCCTTGATACTTAATAATACAGATGTAATCGAATCCGAACTGTTTATTAATAAAGCTAATTTTTTTAATGTTTCATTTTCTTGTATATTTGTTAGAAAGTTGCTTAAAATAAAACGTGATTTTTTATGGATGTATAAAGGTATATTATGACATTTTTCAATAGCATATAAAGCTCCTTTCATAAATTTTGCCATCGGAATAATTTCATTCATTTTTGCTAATAGTGTGACTGTACACTTGTGCGCACTATCATTATCAGAATTTAATAAATTAAAACAATGTTTTTGAAAATTATATAATAAAAATAATATTATAGTAAAATCTTGAGCGTAAGAACTTCCAAGGAATATCGTTGCTCGTCGTATCAAATTATCGCAATTGCTAGTTGTTACATGTTTATCACAAATATCGTTTATAATATAGTCTTTGTTTCTATATTTAATACATTTGACATTACTAATATTTCTCCATCCTGGTTGATGTAGTAAGTTATTTATTATAAAAGCATTTTTTTTTGTATTTTGTGTTCCTTCTGTATGCAAAACAGCAAAAAATATACAAAAGTAAACTTGAATATTCGATGTTATTGCCATTTTTATTTTCGAAAAGTGTCTTATACAAAGAAAAAAAAAAGTCGCACAAAATTTGTTACAATGTTATAATTATAATAATAATTTATTTCATTTCCATACTAAATATAAACTAGCATGTAATGGAGACTGTTTACACACAGGTGTACATAGATAAACAATATTATTTATATGAGAACGGGATGAGGCAAAGGATTTTCAACGTTTTAAACACTTAATGATTAAAACTCCAAAAGCACCATACATTACTAATTTACAATGGTTTTTTGGGTAGGGTGATTTTATAATATTTTCATAATTTAGTTTGGAAATAAATGACACAAATAGAATTTTGAACTTGGAGATGCTAACTTAAGAAGACCATGATACATTTTTTTTCAAGTTATTTTGAACTATTAATTGATGGTCAATATCACACAGGCATGTTCTGTGTTAGATTAAACATAAATTGTATTAATTTTCATTATGTGACTAATAATATATTATAATAAATATAATATAATTTGACGAGAAAAAACTTATTACTAAGAAACGCTTTTTAACGATTGTTGTTAAAATAAATCCAACTTATATCAATATTTTATTCGTAGTCTTAATACATAATAATGTACAAGTAGCATACAAATTAATTTTATCCTAGGTAAACATAATAGTTAATACTATTTTAATAAAAAATATAAAAAGCTTAGCATTGGCTCATTATGCACATCTGTTTAAATACACATGAAAAAATGTAAAAATATATGTTTACATATATTAGTGTGCCAGGCATTTAAGAAATTTTCAAATACTTTTAATGACCGTTATTTTTTATATGAATAAGTAAAAAATTATCTTTGCTAAATTTGAAATCAAAATATCTAACTACAAATTTCAATAAAGCATTTCTTTTGGTAGTGATTTTAATGACTGTTAAATATCAATTATACCACGTCCATTCTCTGCCGCAACACCGTCATGTTCCCTTTTTTTAATCTTCAATAATCTCCACTATCATAAGAAACGCTTTGATGCAAAATTGGGGGATAATTACGATCCAACATCCATTACTATCTAATGATATAAATTTTCAACTTGCAAGTTGAGCTAAAATAGTGTTTAAAATTTCAACATTTTTAAATTTCATAAAAATCAACTATAAATATCAAAAATAAAGTTAAAAATGTAATTTTTAATTAAAATTTTGTACGGATTATTTAATAATTTTTTCTTAATAGGGGAGACTACAGTGATTGAATCATTGTTAGGAAAAAATGCAAAAAAAGTTAGTTTGATGAAAGTGGTTCGAATTTCGAACCCCCGCGTATAAAACTGTATTATATTATAGGCAGCTACCGTAAATTACAATAATATTAGCTAAAAATGAAAAATTTAAGATAGTTCAAAAACTCAAATCAGCTTTCCTTAACTTTGAGAAAATTACAAATTTAATCGAATCCGAATTGATTATTAAAAAAGCTAATATTTTTAATATTTCATTTCTTGTATATTTGTTAGAACACTGCTTATAATAAAACGTGATTTTTTATGGATGTATAAAGGTGTATCATGACATTTTCCTATAGCATAATATAAAGCTCCTTTCATAAATTTTGCATTTAGCTTCAATGAAGCAGATGCTTAGGTAAGTATATTTGTCAACATTAAAGTTGTCGCCGTATAGTAATGATCATTGTCGAATGGATTTTATGAGAACAATGGCAACGTTTGTCATTATGGCATTATAATTTCTCAAAATTTTATCATCGTCAACCAGACGCTTAGTTAAGCATATATTTAATATCAAAGGTATTACTATACTATAATGCTCTGTAATTAATAAATAAGCGTCTGTAACTTTATGAGAAAAAAATTGTGCCGCTGTCTGTGTATTATTAATATTAGATGTACAGCTATAATTTCTAAGAATTTTATCATCCGCTACCAGACGCTTAGATAAGCATATTTCCAACATCAAAGGTAATACGTAATCCAATAAGGGTACGGGTGCACGAGTGACGTTTAACGCACTACCGCAGATATATATATGTATAACAGTATTAAATATTTAATATGGTGTATGTAATGCTAAGTCGCACAAATTAATTATTAAATATGCAATATAAGTTTCTACCAACGACAAGTATTTAATATATATATATCTTTATTGCAAATCGTAAGGTCACACAGGTTAATTGCGATCGCAAGACCACTAACAAAAAAAAAAAACAAAGAAATAAATGACAATAGAAACCAGAACCAATAAGATTAATAAGATCAATAAGATTACAGTTAAGGTATACGTAAGAAACGGAACAGAACGCATTATCCGTAATCCATACTCGGCGACGGCCTTATCTCGGTGTCAAGGGCAGGGGGACAACCGATTGTCATATTAATAGCTGGACGGCTGATATCGAGAGAGACACGGGTGAGCGCCAGCCTCGAGCGTAGGGCGGTGCCGTGTCAACTCACCCCCACCAAGCCGTCAGCTATTTCTGACCCGGCCGGTTTTGTAAACAAATTGTCGCATCATACACAATAAACAATTGTAGACTTACCGCCATGTTCCTTGTATGTGTAACTCATATCACTTTTCCAGTGATCATTGTTCCAATGATCTTCATAAACGTGTTTGAGATTTGTTTCATCTTGTTTGTACAATATAATCATATTAGTGTTATCTCTTATCAGTTGTTTAGGAATTCTAGAATACACCTGTGTTAGGTAAAAAATATCAAAACCATTGTGTCGCCCTTGGCAAAAATAAGATGTCATATGAATTTATTTTTCACAAATTACATCATCGAATACAAACACAGAGTTTGCTTCTAATTTTTCGGGTGGAGGTACGTCTTCACTGCTGGCGAATATAGATAATTTTACCACATTATCCATAATCTCACCTAATAATTTATATTTGCGCTGATCCGGGGTTTTCGTGTAAATGTATAGGTGCTCGAACCTCAAACCGTTTTCCTCAGTTAATAATTTAAACATTACATTTGTTTTACTACAATTTTTTTGGCCCACATATTATGCATCTTATTGTGTTGGGTAACAGTGGTGAATGTTTAGACTCGATGGGGTCTGTAAAATCCGTGACATTATCGACTGATAGTGTATGTTTCTGTTTCTCAAAAAATATTATTAGGGCACGTTATTACTCGTCAAACGAATGAGTATAAATGATGAAAAACTCAAAGAACCTTTACAGTTATAAATTGAAAATGTTGCGAACAAGACGTGCGACGAAACGAAGTGTAGGACGTGGTATTGTTAATTCAATAAATTACAATATTAAATTATTGAATATCAATTTCATACTAAATTTAATTACTACATTATTATTTATTCATATATTAAAATTATAAATCAATAATTAATAAGAAGTAAGAGTAATTGTTGTTTTTAAAATAATCTACCAATATCTTAAAATTAAACACTATCTACAGATTTGTATCGAAACGTTTCTTTTGATAGTGGTCCACTGTGCTACCGATTTTTTTTTGTGATATGTCTTTTATTATAATTTTTAGTGTAAAAATATAAGAAACGCAGTTTGATGGGTATAGTAATAAAATGTATTGTTGGTAATAATTAATTTAATTTTCTTATGACATATTATAATAATTCATATTAATTAATAATTGAATACTTAATAAGTTATTATAATTAAGAAGTACTTATAGCTGTGGAAGAAAAACCCACACACATAAATGCGATTACAGCATAATGCTAGAAAATGATTGGACATGCCCTGAGACACACAGAAGAGTTGAATAATATTATATTAGACGGTATGATAGAATGAAAGAAAACTGAAGGACGTCCCCGAAAATATTATGTATGACAAATTAAATGTCATGCAAGACTCAAAACCTCATTGGAACTTAAAGAAAAATCGAGTAACTGTTTAGAATAGAGTATTGTAATTGTAAACCAGCCTTCGGGTTGATAAAAAAATGATATTAATTCTAAATTTGTAAGTTGAGCTAAAATAGAGTTATAAAGTTCAACATTTTTAAATATATATATTTTTAATTAAAAATGACAACTTTTTCACAAAAAAAGTAACTTTTTAAAGTGTTCCAGTAATACTGACACTTTTATATATACCTAAAATTAAAGCTTATATAATATACTTTATTATGAAAAAAAAAAAATTTCAGACTTTATTTTGTCTCCACGGTAAAAGCTACCTATGCTATTTTTGTGTTAAAATTCTCGATTCTATATTTTACATTTTTAACTTTATAATGCTATAACTTATTGAAAAGTGTATGGATCAATACAAATTTTTTATGAGAAATAATATTTATATCCCTCTTTCATTCGACATACTTTTTTTTTAAATAACACTATTTCCCTTTATATATTTATATATTATAAATATGTATAGATATTTATTTATTCTATTATATTACATTTATAAATCATAAAACTTGTAATCAGTATATAAATAAAGAAATAGGAGATCATATAGCTTTTGGAATAATACATCAATTTTTTATAATTAAACACTATCTATAGATTTCCATCGAAGAGTTTTTTTATGATAGTGATTTTAATCACTGTAAGATATCATTATACTTAACCCAACTATGCCTCATCCCCACTGTGCTAGGTTTTGTTTATTTTATAAAAATATGTTTTGGGAAAAATTACATGGAATACTAAGTAATAATATATAATACGTCATGATTTAATTTTTAATGAATTTAATACTTGACCCAAGTAGCAATTCGAATTCATACCGGATTCATTTAATATAGTAACAACTCAGTTCAAAACCCATTCATAGCACGGTTCAAAATGAGATTTGAATACGGATTTTAACATGGGGTGAACTGAGTTCTACAAAAGTTCAGTAAGAGTTCAAAGACCGTTACTCGGTTCAGCTATAAAACGCTCGATAACAGTTCAATAATCGTTCATCGGTTCAATAAAAGCGTGCTCTACGACGGTTTACTATGCGTTCATTAGCAGTTACGGTATTTAAAATCAAATTTAAAGGTTTTGAAAATATTCAACAATTTTATAATTTTAAAATAATATATTGTATTACTATATACAAAATGTATTATCTGTATA